ATGTATATCGGGTGTATACTTCTCACTCCGCCCCCTCTTTTTTTCTTCTCTCTATCTAGTTTTCCTCTTTTTTTCCCCACTTCTTCCTAAATTTTCTCTTCTATTTATAGCAAAATTTTCGAAATTTTCAGATTTTTTTTAATTATTTTATTATTTTTTTAATTAAAAGAAATCCCACTTACAAATTGCTTTTATTTTTTTAGAAAAAGAAATCCCACCTTTATTTACTTTTATTTTTAAAATTCCAACTTTAATTACTTTATCTTATTTAAAATCCCACTTTTTATTTTTTTAAAAGAGAATCTCACTTTATTTAACTTTTCTTTAAAAAACAAACCACTATCTTTTCTTTTTCTTTTAAAAATTCTACTTTCAATTACTTTAATTTTTTTTAAAATTTTCAGATACCTTTATATTTATTTTTTAATTCCAAATTTTTTTTTAAAAAACTTTATATTTTTTTTTAAATTTTCTACATTCTTTTACTTCTTTTTTTTAAAATCATTCCCGAAATTATTATATATGTTTTTTTTTAAAAAACTTTATATTTTTTTTTAAATTTTCTACATTCTTTTACTTCTTTTTTTTAAAATCATTCCCGAAATTATTATATATGTTTTTTTTTAAAAAAATAAAAATAAAAAAATAAAAGGTGAATTATCACTATTAATAGTTTTATTTTTTGTTTTTTTATATATAAAAAAACAAAAAATAAAACTATTAATAGTGATAATTCACCTTTTATTTTTTTATTTTTTTGGTTTTTTTTTGTGTTGGACAAAAATGAAGATGGGGTGTTGGGTTAATGGAGCGGACCGGGTCGACCCAGTTTGAAACGGACCGGGTCATGGGGAAAGTTGGGCAATTATTTGGGCCTGTGGTTTGAAATTGAAGAAGTGGCCCAATCCGATTTTTCTTTGTATTTTTGTTCTCTTTTCTTCTTTTATTTTTCTAAAACTAAATTATAAAAGTACTTAAATTATTATTAAGAACTAAATTAAGTTATAAAAGCGCAAATTAACTTCCAATAACAATTAACGCACAATTAAGTAATAATTAAGCATAAAATTGTTCATTTGGACATTAAATGCTAAAAATGCAAAAGATGCCTATTTTTGTATTTTTTTATTAATTTAACAAATAAACATGCATAGACAAACATACAAATAGTTACACAAAATATCTCAAAAATTGCACACCAAGAAAAATTATTTTATTTTTTGAATTTTTTGGGAGTAATTCTCATATAGGGCAAAAATCACGTGCTTACAGTACATATTATTTATGTACTCACACTACGCTTCTATACCTAATTGTACAGGATCTGAGGCAGGTCATCTAGCTACCCGTCTGGCGCGCGTTCCTGATACTTGACCGAGATTCCACGATGAGCTGCCCATTCTGAGTCGTTCAGCAGCATGCCAGAGTCTCTCCTTTTGTTATTACTGTCTATCCTATTTCATGGAGTAGAATAGTTATATTCTTTTGTACATTCTACTAGTTGCCCTTGTACTTGTGACACTAGATCCTGGCGCACACATTAGTAGACTATTACTTTTGGGTTGTATTTCTATTATTATGACTCCCCTAGTCTTTCCCGATTCAGTTGCCTTATAAATTTGTTAATTATCGACTGTTTTAAATTTAAGTTAAGTAAATGTTGGGATTGTTTATGAAAATAAATGAGAACTCACTAGTTGATTTAGGGTTAGCTTGCCTAACAACGGTGTTGGGCGCCATCACGTCCAATAATGGAATTTGGGTCGTGACAAAAGCAATTGTTAACACACTTCTCATCATTTATTAAGTTTATCTTTTGCACATGGACAATGTCATGATGGGGCGAACAATATGCAAGGTGATATTAGTGGTCTTAAAATGTTGGTTAAACAAGAAAGTAGATCGGCTCATTCTATTTATTGTTTTGTTCACCAACTTCAATTAACTCTTGTGGCAGTTTCAAAAAAACGTATTCAAATGGGAGAACTTATGCTATTGGTTTCAAATATTTTGAATGTGTTAGGAGTTTATTTTAAATGTATGGATGAACTTCGAGAATCTCAAAAAGAAAAACTCCAAGAGGCATTAGATATGGGTGAACTAGAAATAGGTGGAGGCTTGAATAAAGAGCTTGGTCTTGGTAGAGTCGGTGATACTCGTTGGGGATCTCTCTACAGGTCGTTTGAAAATTTTATGTTTTTGTCTGATTCTATTTTTGATGTACTTGATACTCTTGTTGAAGATTCAAGTACTTTAGATGAAAGAGATAAGGCAGCAAGATATCTTAGAAGTTGCCAAACATTTGAGGTTGCTTTCATGTTGCATTTTATGAAAGATATTTTGGTAATCACATATGATCTTAATATATCACTTCAAAAAAAGGAGAAATATATTGCTAATGTCGTGATACTTGTTAAAGTAGAAAAAAAAGGTGTCAAGAGTTAAGAGTTGATGGATGGGATCAACTTAAATATAAGGTATCTACATTTTGTATCAAGCATGATATTCTGATACTCAATTTTGATGATCCATATGCTAAATCTGGAAGATCACAACGTAAACTTGTTGATCATACTACTTTATATCATTATCGTGTGGATGTGTTTGATAAGATTATTGATTGGAAACTTTAAGAATTTAACAGTCGTTTCAATGAGGTGACAAGTGATTTGTTTCATGGAGGAGCTTGCCTGAATCCAGTAGATTCATTTTCTAGTTTTGACATCAGGAAGATAGTGAGAATGGCTAAATTATATCTTGATGACTTTGATAAATTTAATTTGAGTGTCCTTGAGAATCAACTTACTAATTATATTGTTGATGTACGTGATATTGGTCAAAGGTTCTCCAATATAGGTGGACTTGGTGAACTTCCAAAAAAACTAGTTGAGGTTGACGTATAGTGCAACTTGTTAGATATATTGGGTCATATGGTATTTCCCCCGATCGAGATATCCCCCATTTCACCCAAGAAAGATAAATTTAATCATCAAAAATTTGGAGCGTGAAGTGCAATTAGATCCATTTTTGAGGGGATTCATATTACTATTATCAATTAAAAAAATTCAATTAGAATAATTTATGGTTGCTTGGTTGGACTAAAAAAATGAAGTATTCAGGCTCCGTTTAGAAAAAACCCAATTGGATTGGTAAGATATCGATGATTGCTATTCATATTTTTTCTTTGTAAAGAGATCCTAATTGTCAAGCAAAGTTATCTCAACTCTAAGAAATACTTGTATAAAATGAATTGAAAAAAAAAAAGAAATACAAAAAGAAATGGTAATGGGAGCATTTGTCCTATATGTACAAATCCAAATCAGGCGGATCTTTACCCAGAGTAGAGCATAAACCTAAAAAGATGAAACAGACCCATTCAGGAACAAGAAAAAACCATCGCGGTTTGGATTAAATCTCGATGAAAGAATACATCAATGAGAAGTTAATTCGATAAGTTTAAAGACAAAGAAGAATATTGCTTATCCTCTTGTATTCTGCTTAGTGAAGCTTGCTTTGCTTCTGCCAGTTGCCACTACAACCATTGAAAGAGTTTTTTTCGGCAATGAAGTTTATCAAATGGATGATGAATTTTTAGACTGTTTCATAGTGCCTTATGTAGAAAAACGTTATTTTGTACTATATCTAATGAGGTGGTTATAAAAACATCAAAAGATGAGACCTTGTCAAGTACAATTGTAATAATATATTTAAATTGTGCTTATAGTGGCGGTAGTGAACGATGTGAGAGTAAGGTCATGTCCTCGAGTTGGGTTGGGGGAGGGGTCCAGGGGTGGGAAGGGGGGTAAGAAAGCCTCTAGGCTGAGAGTTGGGTCTTGGAACATTGAGACGTTGACAGGGAAGTTTATAGAGTTAGGTAAGATTCTTCAGAAGAGGGAGATCAACATAGCGTGTGTTCAGGAGACTAGATGTAAGGGTACTAGGGCACAAGATATAGAAAGGTTTAAACTATGGAACTCAGGAAGCGATGGGGTAAGAATGGGGTAGGTATTTTAGTTGACAGGGACCTTAGGGAGCTCGTGGTCGAGGTTAGGAGGTTAAATGATAGATTGATGAGTATTAAGCTGGTAGTTGGCCGGTTTACTGTAAACGTGATTAGTGCATACGTTCCTTAGGTAGGTTTGGACCAGGAGGTCAAGAAGCAATTCTGGGAGGACTTGGACGAGATGGTGCGTAGTATCCTGCACACAGAGAAGTTGTTCATTGGCGGAGATTTCAATAGCCATATTGGGGCTAGTGTTAGGGGTTATGATGATGTGCATGGCGGATTCAGTTTTAGGGATAGGAATGAGGGAGGTAATTCACTGTTGGATTTTGCTAGAGCTTTTGATTTGGTTATAGTTTACTCGAGTTTTTCGAATAGGGAAGAACATCTGGTCACTTTCCTAAATTCAATGGGCAAGACTCGGATTGATTATCTTCTCTACAGGAAATGCGATAAAGGTATGTGCACTGATTGCAAGGTCATCCCAAATGAGCACCTCACGGCCCTACATAGGCTCCTAGTTATGGACCTGGAGATCAAAAGGAGTAGGAGGAAGAGGGCGGGGTGTAGGCAACCTAAGATCAAGTAGGGTAACTTGACCAAGGACAAAGCTCAGAGTTAGGGGAGAAGTTGTTGGCTATGATTTATTGGTGGAGATTTCAATAGCCATATTGGGGCTAGTGTTAGAGGTTATGATGATATGCATGGCGGGTTCGGTTTTAGGGATAGGAATGAGGGAGATAATTCATTGTTGGATTTTGCTAGAGCTTTTGATTTAGTTATAGCTTACTCGAGTTTTCCAAAGAGGGAAGAGCATCTGCTCACTTTCCAAAATTCAATGGGCAAGACTCAGATTGATTCTTCTCTGTAGGAAATGCGATAAAGGTATGTGCACTAACTGAAAGGTCATCCCAAGTGAGCACCTCACGACCCTACATAGGCTCCTAGTTATGGACCTGGAGATCAAGAGGAGCAGGAGGAAGAGGGTGGGGTATAGGCAACCTAAGATAAAGTGGGGTAACTTGACCAAGGACAAAGCTCAAGAGTTAGGGGAGAAGTTGTTGGCTATGAGGGCTTGGATAAGTAGGGGGACGTGTCTAGTATGTGGTTCACGAGTACAAATTGCATTAGGGTAGCTGCTAGAGAGGTCTTAGGGGTCACGAAGGGCTCTCCTAGGGGTCATAAAGGGGACTGGTGGTGGAATGGAGAGGTTCAAGGTAAAGTGGAAGCTAAGAAAGCTACTTATTTGAAGCTAGTGGAGAGTACAAACGAGGAGGAGAAAAGGACTTATCGTGAGTGTTATAGAAAGGCAAAGAAAGAGGCGAAGTTAGCAGTTACGACGGCTAAGAACGCGACATTTACTTGTTTGTATGAGGAGCTCGGAGGCAGATGCGGGGACAAGAAGTTGTACCGGTTGGCCAAGGTGAGGGAGAGGAAAGCCTGCAACTTAGACCAAGTCAAGTGCATCAAGGACGAGGATAGAAAAGTGTTAATGGACGAGGCACTTATTAGGAGAAGATGGCAGACATACTTCCATAAACTGTTGAACAAGAAAGGGGATAGATGCATTGTACTGGGTGAGTTGGAGCACTCTGAGAATCGGCGGGATTTTGGGTACTGTAGGCGGATTATGGTAGAGGAGGTGGAAGGGGCGATGCGTAAGATGTGCAGGGGCAGAGTGATGAGGCTAGACGAAATCCTGGTCGAATTCTGGAAGAGCACGGGGCAGGTAGGTTTGGAGTGGCTCACTGGGTTGTTTAATGTTATTTTCAAGACAAAGAAGATGCCCGAAGAATGGAGGTGGAGTACGATTGTTCCGTTTTACAAGAACAAGGGTGATATCCAAAATTGCAACAATTATAGAGGTATCAAGCTATTGAGTCACACTATGAAGGTTTGGGAGAGGGTGGAAGAGGCCAGGGTAAGGAGGTGCATGTTTATTTTCGAGAATTAGTTTGGATTCATGTCGGGGCATTCGACTACGGAAGAAATTCAATTGGTAAGGAGATTAGTGGAGTAGTACAGGTAGAGGAAGAAGGATTTGCATATGGTATTTATTGACCTTGAGAAAACGTATGATAAAGTCCGGAGGGAGGTACTGTGGAGGTGTTTGGAGGTTAGCGGCGTTCTGGTAGTGTATATTAGGGTGATTAAGGATATGTATGATGATGCTAAGACTCCGGTGAGGACTGTGGGTAGTGACTCGGACCATTTCCCTATGGTGATGGGGTTGCACTAGGGATCGATTCTTAGCCCATTTTTATTTTCCTTGGCGATGGATGTACTGTCGTGACACATCCAAGGGGAGGTGCCTTGGTGCATGCTATTTTCCAATGATATAGTGTTGAATGACGAGATGCGAAGTGGAGTTAACGCGATGTTGGAAGTTTGGAGATAGACCTTGGAGTTTAAAGGTTTCAAATTGAGTAGAACCAAGATAGAATACTTGGAGTGAAAATTTAGTGATGGGACCCGTGATGCAGACGTAGAGGTTAAGCTTGATGCTCAAGTTATCCCCAAGAGAGCGAGTTTTAAGTATCTCGGGTCTATTATCTAGGGTAACGAGAAGATTGGCAAAGATGTCACACATCGCATCGGAGCGGGATGGATGAAGTGGAGGCTCGCTTCCGGTGTTTTTTGTGATAAGAATGTGCCGCCAAGACTTAAGGGTAGGTTTTATCGAGTGGTGGTTTGACCTACTATGTTGTATGGGGCTGAGTGTTGGCTAGTCAAAAACTCTCACGTGTAGAAGATGAAAGTAGTAGAGATGAGGATGTTGAGATTGATGTGTGGGTGTACGAGAAGAGATAGGATTAAGAATGAAGCTATCCGGGACAAAGTGGGAGTAGCCTCCATGGAGGACAAAATGCAGAAGTCAAGGCTAAGATGGTTCAGACATGTTAAGAGAAGAAGCATTGATGCTCTTGTCAGGAGGTGTGAGAGGTTGATCATGGAGAGTTTGAGAAGAGGTCGAGGTAGGCTTAAGAAGTACTGGGGAGAGGTGATTAGACAGGACATGGCACTGCTTCATCTCACTGAGGACATGACCCCTGATAGGAGGGTGTGGAGGTTGAGGATTAAGGTAGAAGGTTAGTGGGTAGTTTTTAGTTGTTCACCGATAGTCTTAGTAGCATGCATGTCCCTCCATATTCTTAGATTTTTATTACGTTGTGTGGTTTTGTTTGCCTCGGGTATTGTATTCCCTGTTGCTATTATTTGGTACTACTTATCCTTTATCTCTCTCTTTTTCTTTTCTCTTCCTTCTTTCGTCCTTCCTTGCTCTCCTCTTCCTCTTCTTGCCCTTCCTAAGCTGAGGGTCTATTGGAAACAACCTCTCTACCTGAATTAGGTAGGGGCAAGGTCTGCGTACAGACTACCCTCCCCAGACCCTACCTGTTGGGATCATACTGGGTTTGTTGTTGTTTTAGTAGTAACGTGATGATCCGATATGTTATTCTGAGTCTAGCACTTATTTGAGTATTTTGAGACCTTGATTAGCTCCATGTAGTGATTCTTGATCAGCGTGCGCAGCCCGTATCTTTTTTCGGAAAGTTTTTACATGAAAAATTAAAGAAAACATGAATTTTAGCTTTAAAAATGATTTGAATTGACTGCAGTCAATATTTTATGTAAATGATCCCGTATCAGTATTTTGACAATCCCAGTGTGTCCGTATCATGATTTTAGACTTGGATGCATGCTTGAAATTGAATTCAGAAGTCCCCAACTTGATTTGACATGATTTGTTGAAAAATAGTAATTTGAAGGTTTAAAGAATTCTGAAGTTTGACTGTAGGTTGACTTTATGGCTACCAGGTTCAGATTTTGATTCTGAAACTTGATATCGGTTCATTTTATTATTTAAGACTTGTCTGAAAAATTTGGTGCAAAACGTAGTTG